TTATGTGTGTATGTAGGATGTTAGACCAGTTTATGTGTTTATGTCGTATGTTAGACTAGTTTAAGTGTTTATGTAGTTAATAAAACCTTACTTGTATCACACTTGACGTGTTCATTGTTTGCTCATAACCGGAGTCACTAATCATGCAGATTTACGTTACAAGCTTATAGAATTGTACAGTAAGAAAGTTATTTCCCTTAACCAGGAAATTAACGTTCTTAGAATTGACAAGACATTTGACCCTGAGAGGTCAGCTAAATATCTACAGCGGATCTAAAATATGAATAGTTAATTATAACTAGTTATGGTTAATTATTCATATTTCCTGTCGTTGAGCTAAATTCGCTACAAAAGTTACAAAAGATTTATACTTTAAATAAATGCTGTTCCTCAAACTTTGTTCATCTGTGAATCCTGAAAAATATAATGTATCACAGTTTCCACAAAATATGTTAATAATTAGTAATATTAATATAGTAATTATTAACAAAATATGTTAATAATTAAACACATAATTAGTATTCTTGTAGTAATTTCTAATAACACATTAAGAATACCTCGCCCCAGCAATCCCCGCCCAATACCGAACCAAACCAAATCCGTGACCTCAAAACCACAAAACATACCGAACCGTGAGAAACTAGAACCGTGACAGCTCTACTGAACAGGTAGCTCTCCACATCAAATTCAAGGCTCTAATATTGTGCTCATGGCTGCTTCTGGATATACTCCCTTCTCTGAATCTGTGCTGCCTCTTATTCTGTGATCAGTATTTTTGCCTTTATTACCTTCTTCGTGCTTGTCCTGTAACTCTTTAGCCAGCTGGTTCTGGTTCATCTTCCTCAGGATCTTCAGTGTGATCGTTACAGCATCTTCTGGTCCATAACACTCCACCATCATATCCACTACGTCAGTGCCACCAGCATCCTCCAGTTTACCAGCTCCAATGCGCCCATCTTCTTTTAAGAGACTCCTAAATCTCTTTATATTTTCTTTTTCCAGGTCATCTAGAGTATTATAAAGCAGTTCTAACGCAGATTCCATAGTCCTTCATGGACTGTTGAACGAGAAAAAAGAAAAAGTAGTCAGTTTTATAGCAGGGGTCTATGCAGTGCAAACATATGCATGATGAAATCACACTGTAATCAGATCAACTACAGTGAAACATTCATTTTCAAGCTACATTTCTAATTTCAACATGATTTTTTCTTTAGACATTCCCCTTTAAATACAATGAGCATCAGCTGTATGTGTAAGTGACCAGCATTTGGCTTTCAGTCACTGGAAATGGGTAATATTCATCAATCTGGACATGGAGCCGCACTGAGATCCCCATCTCTGGGACTGAATGACGTAGGGCCTTGAAAATGAAGATTCCAAAGTTTATTAAGAATCAGAACGTAAAAACATTGAAATATCTCTAATACTTCTTGAGTTATAGGCATGCAAACTTTGGAAAAAGAATATTTATGGCACTCAGACAGGTGTGTACAATGCCGTTTTGACAGAAGGAAACAAGATTTACTAGTTTCAACATGATTTGTTCTTCAGACGTTCCTCTTTAAAAGAAAAACGTATCCTGTATATGCAAAGTGATCCACATTTGGGTTTTGACCATTGAAAATGTGTACAATTTAACAATTTACTCCTGGAACCATATTGAGAAGTTTCTGAAATTTGGTTGATTTTGACACAGAATGCAGTAAGTGCCATGTAAAGACCGTAAATTTGTCCCAGAAAGCCTCATTTTCATCTGTGTTAAATTCATGGTGTCTACTGTGACTAAGATCTATTCGATGTGCTTCATGAATCTGCTGTGATTACTGGAAATGTGATACTTAAACATAGGTTAGTAACTTAAAATTGCTAACATAATATATAGTTTTAATATTATTTACTATATTTATATTCATATTTACTAACTTACCTTGAATAATGGCAATGTTTTTTGTCCTCTTCTGACTTCGTATCTTGCTCAACAGAAGCACTGAATTTTCTTCCACGTTTACATTTTCAAAGAACTGGTGTTTCTCTGCAGAACTGGTTTTTCAGGAGTCAAGCAACATGAGACGAAACTGTGATAAAACCACAATCAAAAAAAAAAAATATATATATATATATATATTTATGTTCTCACAGCTTCTGTTTGCGAACAGACTTTTGGCGACTAAAGCATCACATTTCATCTCAGAACATAAAATTACTGACCATTTTTCTCTCATTTTTCCACAGGCTACCTGTCTTGATCTTGCTAATATTACTGTCTTCCCCTCTTTATATCACGTCTCAGACACGTTTGTTGTCATTCTCTTCACTACATTAGATGCTGTGTAGCTCAAACACTAAGGTCATGAGTTTGATTCTGAGTAAATGCATGAACTGATCAAAACTGAGACATTGTATACAATGCAAGTCACTTCGGGGAGCAGGAAATAAATAAATAAAATATAAATAAAATAATTCATGTCGCTGAAGCTGACAGTCAGACACAGGCACATACTGTATCATCCTCAGGCCGTCAGTGAGTACTGGACTGTGAACTCGGCCCAGGGTGCAAATCAATGAGCATTTCAAAAGACAAGAGTTCAGCTGCTGTTCGGACAAGAACAACACTTACAGACTTGATTTCTGTGACTTCAAGGGACAGAGAAAACATTAATCTTGCAAAACTAAAATTGTTTTAATTTCAAGTGTCTGAAATGTCTTTAAAAATCACAGAAATCATTATTTTTGTACATGATCTCAAAGAGAAAAACCTTGTACTCAGCTTGTGCTGCAGCAACATAATCAATGACAACATAATGAAATGGACTCGACCTGATGATGGATCCAGTCCCTAAAATGTAACATGTAAATCCACCAGATCCAAGTCTTTAAATCAATAAATCAACTGCAAAATCCATATAATCTAAAAGCAAGAGATATCAGAGAACAGGCCTGGGTCAAAAACATGCTGATATATCATTACATCAAGAGACACAGAGATGCTCTTCCAGCATCATTAGGCAATTGTGAAATTATTTGGGTGAACGTTTGATAAACACAGATTATAACTGGGGGTACAAGGACATCTTGTGGCAAATTGATAAAAGAGTTGTAAAGATAAGCTTCCTCACCTTGATTAATGGCGATCTCTGAAGCTTTTGGCCGGGACAGGCTCTGGGATATGATCCATATAAACTCCAGTATGGTTTGCAATTGATGCGAATGCAGATCACAAGTGAAGTGGTACTGAGCTCTGGTTCAGTTGAGAATCTGTTCATAATTTTGTAAAAACCAAATAAGCTTCATTTATCTTTATTGGAAAGGGTGTAAACAATATTTTTCCATTTTTTTCAGTGAACGATAACCAATTATTGCACATGCACCTGTGGAACGGTCCTTAAGACACTAGCAGTTTATAGGTGGTCTGCAATTAAAGTCACAGTTACAATAACCTGTGACAGTAAAGAGACCTTTCTGGAAGGACAGTTGAATGTCCTCGCAGCAGCAAACCACACACAACCACGTTTCTCCCAGACGTGTTCGAGTCTTGGTGGAAGAGAAACTCTCCACAAAAAACATTAAGCAGTACAAAACTGTTTTCAGCACTGATAATAATAAGAAAGGTTTCTTGATCATCAAATCATCATGTTAAATGCTGAAGGAGGAAGTGACAAACATTTTCCAAACACGTTTATGTTGCAATTCACATGTCCTGGAATTCAGATCAAGAGTGCTTCCTCGTACACACACACACACACACACACACACACACACACACACACACAGCTGACTCTGAATATTCTTTGCCTTGTACTGTGATCAAAGGCGTTTCATCTTCAGATGTGCTCTGGCCTTCCACATGACCTTAAGCTGTCAAAGTTATCTCTTTCAAACACACACACACTCAGAAGGCTTTAACCTGCTTTAACACACACACACACACAGAGAGAGAGATGCTCAGCCATATAGCACACGCCTACTGTAACTACACTTGAGGATATTGCTCTTCTCAATTTTAAGTAATAATATACAGCTGTTTAACTTTAAAGTGCTCATATCACCAAGAGTAAATTTTTCCTTCACATTTTCAGATAAACTGCATAAAAGACTCCTTCTGAACTTCTGCAGATTTCTGACATCACACAGATGAACACCAACACATGACCGTCCACATCAGTGATCAGAAACCTGGTCCGTCCAGTCACAGTGAGGTAATGAAATATGATCAAAATTAATTCATCATTAAAACTCCATCTGTGTTCCACTCTGCAAAAAACGAATACTAAAATTACTTGAACTTGAATAGTTCAACCAAAATCATCATTTACTCAGATGTAGTTTCAAAGCCATATGGCTTTCTTTCTAACATGCACTGCAAAAACAAAAAAACTAAAAGTGGTTTCTTAACCAGTATTTTTGTCTTAAATAGCTAAACATGTAAATGGTGAAACTGGTGAATCAGAGTGCATGAGATTGATGGCACTAGATTAACAATAACCAACTGACAGACAGATGACCAACCCATTTACTCTGCCTCTCTTTCTACAAACATCTGAGGACGTAACATATGACACAGTGCACGATCCATGAGGAACGATGCACACAGACAGAAAGAGAGAGACAGAATGAAGGATGAGAGTGATCTGGCTGACAGCCAAACAGAACTAATCAGAATAATATCACTGCAAGCAGCAATCACAGTGCAAGGCACTCCAGTGTCATAAACGTTACAAGTAAATTTAATAGGACATCCCAAAATAAGCATCCCAAGCAGATGTACAAATGCTTATGACTTTTGACCAATAGGTGGTGCCAAATTGATTTGCCATTTTCAGAAGAAAGTTTGTATCAATACACCAAAGCCTTACTGAAATACTACCTCAGATCCGGTCTAGTGTTGAATTCATTGATGCATTACATGTAAACCGTTTGGTACATCGAAAAGCTTTTAATAGCTTTTGGCCAGCATAGAAGATGATCTGAGACAAATGTGGAAAAGATCTGAAGAAATCTAGAAAAATAACAATAAATAAATAAATAAAATGCATGAAATTAGAGATTTTGTAGAAGTTTTTGTAAAATATGGCTTTCCATCATGAAAACGAATCGCTGAATGACTGAAAATCCAGGACTCGTACCACAGTCCTGCTGCTGTTTCTTCTTTCTGGGCTGTTCTTTATCTGACTGAGACTCGTCTGCTCTCTCTAGCTGAGGTCTCAAGGGTTCAGGGGCCATAAATTAATCATCACACACACAGACTTTAGAGAGTCCTCAACCCCCAACACATCTGATCATTGCAAATCCATTCAAAAACGTCGCCCCTAACGACAAGACCCTTCCCCCATGACGCATACATAATTAATTAACCCGGTTGTAAATGAATTAATCATAATAAGCATATTGACATAGATATAAAATTCATTATATAAATTCAGATCAATAAATCATCACAGAAGACACTCTCTCATCTCCTTCTAAAGGCAATATTGAGGTCACGGAAAGCACTGATTTCCTCTCAGGCGTCCTGAAGGCCACATATGAAGGTGTCAGCTGCGTATTGGGAGGTCTTGAGATTTACTTGACTCTTTATTTTTGGAGCATGCATTATGTATACAGTGCACAGCATGATGATTTTCTACATGAAATGCCCGAATGACCTACTTACTACATTGCCAAAATATGCAGTACACTGCAATGCACTCAACTAGACCAACCATCTACGGTGTGACAAATGAACCAGAAGTCATATTATCTAAAAGTCTTCTTAACATGACTTGAACTACAAAAAAAAAAAAGGTTATAACTGTATGCCACTTGCTGAATTAAACATGCAATTATGTAAAGTCATGTAGAAGTAAAGTTAAGTTAAGAATTGCATATATGCCAGTGTTATTTTAGTATAACTGAGATACTATTATAATTTGTATTCATATTTTGAATGTTTTAATTTGTAGTTTTTCTGTTTTCAGTTTAATTACAGTTAAATATTTGTGTTGTGTGTTTCTGTCATTTTAATAAGTTTTTTTTTAAGCAATTACATTTTAACCTCCTATTTAAATTTTAGTTTGATTTATTTTCATCAAGTTAAACTAAATGGAAATGAGAAACGATGCCTTGGCAACAAGCTGACTTATTTATATTTTATATATTTATTATGTTTCAGTTTATTTTAGGTTGTTTTTTGTTTTTTTTAAGTAATAAAAGTTCTGGTAACACTTTATTTTAAGTTGTCCTTGTTACACGTTACATGTACTTACTATTATAATAACAATTAATTATGCATAATTACATGAAAGTAACCCTAAGCTAAATCCTAATCCTAACCCTAACCTTATAAATAAGTACATGTAGTTAATTAATATTACTCCATACTTAAATGCATAATTACACTGTAGTGCACACTTATCACCAATGCAACTGTGATGTCTTAAAATCCTACTTTCCTGTAGCTCAAACAATAGAGCATTGCGCTAGCAAAAGTCATGCGCTTACTTCCCAGAGCAAGCCAGAACTAAGAAAATGTATACTTTGAATGCACTGTCAGTTGCTTTGGATTAAAGAGTCTGACAAATGCATAAATGTAAATGTCAAAATGTTGCCTACATAGGCAGCTCGCTAGGTTTTGGAGCCATAGAGATATTTTGGATCAGCGGTGATGCTCAGTCAAGCTCACACAAATGAGAAAGGACTATGTTTGTCCCTCTATGTTCTGCATCTGTTTGTCAAACAAAACAGTGCTAGCTTACCAAAAAACAAAAAGCTCTTTCTTTCTAAGATGCAAAAACAAGGCTGTAATTTCACTGGTTGTCCCTTCTCCCTCAAGTGGTTTCACCTCTTTTTCTGTTTCTTTCTCTGCTCAAATGTATTTCTAGCAGAAATTGACTTTCATCTGGGGTCGATTTTTAATGTGCTTGTAAATTGGTGAGTATTGACACACCAGATCCAAGTCTTTAAATCAATAAATCAACTGCAAAATCCATATAATCTAAAAGCAAGAGAT